CCATACTGAAGTCAAGAGATCAGAATTTGCAAACACCGTCATCATTGGTGTTTGTACAAGGGAACCAGAATGAAGACTAGAAGAAGACAGAAGTCCGCAAGACGTTAGGATTTAAATAGCGTTCAGTTTGCCGTGGAAGAGTTAAGGGAGGATAAGCTGCCTTACTCCATACTGAAGTCAAGAGATCAGAATTTGCAAACACCGTCATCATTGATGTTTGTACAAGGGAACCAGAAAGAAGACTAGAAGAAGACAGAAGTCCGCAATACGTTAAGATTTAAATAGCGTTCAGTTTGCCGTGGAAGAGTTAAGGGAGGATAAGCTGCCTTACTGAACGCACTGAGAAGCCCGAGCTGAGGACCACTAAGACCACATCGACACACGAGTACGTTGTGTGGACTCTCAACAAGTTTCAAGTTCCGGTTAGCAGGGGACCAAGACCGATCGTGCTGCTTGGGTTGATCCTGACTATTCCATATTCTTGTTGCAGGGTACCCGCGCAAGTGAGTATTCGCATTTCATATTAACAACTGCGATTCAGGAGATTTGGTAGTAATCACCCGTGGATTGGTATTGGCTGCCGATGTCGTTCGCCCTTCAAGGGTCGTGACGTCACGATCATGGCAGTCCAACATGGCTCGAAGTCTCGACCCACATTTGGCCCCTTGTATCTCACGCGGGGTGGCAACACGCGTTCGCGTAGATCACAGTCTCATCGTCTCAGTTGACCCGCAACGTATGCCTTCGCCTGGGCCACGTTCTTCTGAGTCTCTTGTGATCCAGAATCCACACTCAAAGTTGGAGAACTCACGTCCAGAACGACTGACATCCTGGATGGCTCATCCTGGATGACTGACACTGGCGTTGAAGACGGAATTGTTGGAGTCGGATGTGCGGCCTTCTCTTCGAGTACCGCTTTTCCTGCACTGTTGACAACGGACCTTCTTCCTCGATCGTGACCGTCTCTTCCAGACTCTCCACATCAATGACCGGCTGATGAGTGTCCGAAACTCGATCCTCAGATGGTGGACCAACCTTGACGGCGCCTCCCACAGACGCCTGGGCGGGCGAGTCCACAATGGAAACGACCTCATCCATTCTCCTCGCAGGGCTGGATAAACTTGTCAGAATCGACGACTCCTCTTGGCGCGGACCAACCTCGATGTCAGCATCCTCGGTAGCTTGGTGCGCACCCTGGACAGCCGACTCCGGCGACGGTTCCTCTCGATTTGTCACCGACTCATTCTCTTCTTTTGCGGCCTTCCGCTTAGCTGCACCTGTCTTCCGAGCATCCTGGATGACAGCATCCAGGTTCTTGTACTCTTCAGGCTGAAGTCCTTGTACACGACGCAAGTGACGAGACGTAATGCCACGTCCGCCAGTGCGTTCTCCTCGTGGGCTTCCTCTTCCAGACATAACCACTTGGATTAGTAAGTTAGTACCAAACACAACCTTAAACTCTTAATCTAGACGACTCGGTGAAATCCCTTGACAACCAAATCCGGGCACGCGCACCAGCTGACACGATGTCGGTGAAAACTTTTCGTGTAGGAGATGTATAGCGTAGCCAGAATCGGAAGATCAATCAGGATCTAGGGACCTCCAGAATTTGAAACTCAGAATGACAAGTCACCCTGAATGGGCGTGTGGCCTTGTGTTATCCCTGTCGGTTTGATTGATTCGACGGAACAGTTATTTCACCGGTGAGTTGTCCAGGATAAATGTGTTCCAGGATGTGGGGTGCTACCGACAATT